TCTACCCTACCCTACCCTACCCTACCCTACCCTACCTTACCCCACCCTACCCTACTCTACCCTTCTACCCTACCCTACCCTACCTTACCCCACCCTACCCTACCCCAGCTACAACCCCGTGCCGTGGAGCAAGCGGCAGAGGCGAACATCGGCAAACACGGTGGATATACTCCGAGCACGCCAACAGGGGTTCAACTCCAGGTATGCATATGATAATGAGTAGTTGTAGGGTTTATTTCCCTCCCTCCGTATCTGCCCGTCTGTCCGTCTCTGTCTGTAGGTTGCTCTCTTTCCGTGTAGCTGCATTTCCTAGTGTGTATGTTGTTTGCGGCGCAAATCGGCGCTAGACCTGGCGGTGCCTTGGGGTTCTTGTGTTGATGTTTTTTTTTGCTCTACGAGAGATAGCAGGGGGTCATGTAATCTCTTGCCGCTTGTGGGGGTGCGCCGCTTACCAAGCTTTCACCTACTGGCGGCTGGGGCATCTCCTTTTCAACGGAAAGGGTGTCAAGGATATAAAGAGATATAGGACGCGGGAGGTGGAGGCAGAATTGACATGTTTCGGCGAGAGGGCTGGCTAGCGTCATGTACGGCACGTCTGTATCTGTTTAGATAAGCGCATAGATGAAGACGCGGAGAGCAAGAGAGAGAAGGGGGACGAGAGAGAGAGAGAGAGACAGAGAGAGAGAGAGTTAGACAGAGGTGGGGACAGAGAGTTAGACAGAGACAAGCAATCTGACAGACAGACAGACAAACAGGGACGTAGGCGCTAAACGACCCTCTCATCGCAGCGCCACTGAAGAAGCCCCCCTCTCCCACCGCCACTCTAAGATCAGGCGGCCGGCATCGGCACCGTTGGGCGGGAGTTTCATCCCCAACACTTTCTGCCGCCCCCTGGGCCGGTCCCAGCAGAAGATGTTCTGCGGTCGGTTCTCCACTTCGGGCGACGTCCTTCTCACGGCAAGCCAGGACTCGGTCATCAACCTCTACGATTCCGAGAGCGTTTATCGCTGGAGCGCCAAGTCAGCAGGTGAAAGAAGCCGCGGGATAGTCGCAACCCATGGCGCAATGGATTGTGGAAAAAGATGTGGGACATCGGGATCCGGGGGAAAATGTGGAGGATGTTGAAAAAGATGACAGAATGCACACGAAGTGCGGTGATGTTGGATGGGGAAATTTCGAAGTACGTGGATGTACTACAAGGAGTCGCACAGGGCTGTACGATGTCACCCACTCTTTTTAAGATTTACATCGACGATTTGATAAGGGCGGTTGAAGCAGTAAGACAGGGAGTCCAAGTAGGGGGAAAGAGTGTGTCCGGACTGATGTTTGCAGATGATTTCGTGGGGGTATCCGAAACACCAGAAGGGTTGCAAGAACAAATAGACGCGGCGGTAGGATACACCCGAAAATGGAGAATGTCGGCGAACGTAGGAAAATGCGCAGTAGTGGTCAGTAACGAAGACAAGAAAAATCCCGTAGAATTCAAATGGAAATGGGGGGAGGAAGAACTACCGGTAGTAGACAAGTATACGTACCTGGGAGTAGAGATTTCGAAGGAGTGCTCATGGGACGCACACATAGCGAAGTTGATTGGGAAGGGTAAAGCTCAGATAGGCAAGATGGACGAGATCCTTACGGACCCACACCTAGACACTAGGATTAAGAGGTGTATTCTCTTGAATGTGATTGTACCTAAGCTAGAGTATGCAGGAGAGGTATGGGAAGGTAACGAAAAGGCCGTCAAGCAGCTGGAAACGGTGCAGATGGCAGCGGCCAAGAAAATACTAGGACGTTCAAGTACAACGAGCAACACTGTATTGAGAGCAGAATTGGGAATGTA